AGAGTAAACATTAATTTTCTCTCATAATAAATAAAAAATTGTGTTTTGCTGTACTTATTTAAAATGGACTTTTTGTTCTGTGCAGAATAGAGATTGAACTTATTTTTGTTTTTTGGCCCAGTTGATTACTACCATTGTCAAAATGAAGCGTTTCTGTTCAAAATGTCTTAAATCTTGCCATGCTTTACAATGCTTATTATAAAACTAAATTTAAAAATGAGCAGTGCAAGCATTTTATGTTCCAGTGGCTTTTTACACTCTGACAAATGTGTGGGTTTGTTTTTATCGCAGGGATGTTTTATTTTGACTGCTTTTGGCTGATGCATGGAGACAGTAATACTGCCAGACCCAAAACAGTGCACCAGCTGCTTTTAAATTTATTGAATTTTAAAAGTCTTTTATTAAAACCTCAGTCAGCTATTAACATGCCTTGTTTTTTATTCCCCAAAAGTACATGATTATGCATTCCTATTTACTGGTACTACATTTGAAGATGGAGTCAGAATCTAAATAAAGAAGGTAAAATCAAGAGCTATTTATGGAGCCTTCAAAATGTAGCCCTTACTGCAGGGGTGGGCAAAATTTGGCCCGGGGTCCGGATATGGCCCTCCAGGCCCCTAAAAACAGTATAAAATTAATATTAATCTGCCCTGGGCTGCCTGTCATGCGGCCCTTGATGGCTTTCTGAAACTCAGTAAGTGGCCCTCTGCCCAAAATAATTGCCTGCCCCCACCTTACTGTAATGTGTGGTTGTGACTGCTGCAGTCCACTGTTTAAATGTACAGTTGCTTCTATCTTCTATCATGTTTAAAGGTGTGAATGGAAGTTTCTCTTGCAATCACTAACTCACCCAATGCTTAATACAGCACCTCTCACTGAGTATGTAACCTAATTTTTCATTGTAAGAAACTGAAAACAATGGAATTTAATCCAAAGGCAAAGTAGCCCCCCACCAAAAAAAAAATTAATACATTGTAATTTTCATTGTTACCTAATTTCTACCATCATTTATCCAGAATAGTTCTAATTTTATGGACCATAGTTTATAGTTCTGTTCCACTACCATCAGAGGGAGTTGTGTGTGGGTAAGGGCAGTTTCTAGTTCTAAGCTTAAACCAAAAAATGTTTTTTAATAATTTCTTTAGCTTGTCACTTGGATAAAGTTTCATATTTCCTGACCAAATAACATATAATAGATTTGTCTCTCTGAGCATGTCCAAATGTGTGTATACTTTGTGATAGATTTTCTGAGTATTCCATATAAAACATAATAAATCCATAGGGAGTCATTAAATATTATCTACCTTTGTAAATTTATAGCAGAAAGATTAAATCCTAGAACATTATTGTGCTCATGCATCAAGTCTTAAACTTATTAGCGTTGTCAATCACAGGCTGTCAGATTTTCACCTCATCCACCAAATGACCCTGTTATTTTTCTGTCAAGACCAGGTTAAAACTGGTACATAGATATCAGCTGAGACTATGAAATATGTAAAGCTGCCAAGTCCCAGACAGAGGCTGAAGGGAAATTTGAAGGATACTGGAAGGAGTGTTGAAGTAATTAGTGCAATCAAAATAACACAGCCAATTACAATTGTCTAACTGCTTACCAAAAAAGGGCATGAACCTACAATGCCCTTGCAAATGCAGGGACAAGCTTATATATTACTTAGCTGAAGATGTTCTCTTTCTTTTCTTTTTTTTTTTTAATTCAGTCCAGGGGCCTACCTTGGCTTTTTCTGCCTTCCTAATTTTTCTGACATTCTTTTATGTCCTTGATTTGCCTGACCCCTTTGTAATATTATTTCTTTAAATAACTGAGGCACCTCTCTCAGGAACCCCAGATTTCACTTTGTAAAGCTTTGATTTTGTTTTTCTGTGTTTTCACCATCCAGCCATGTCTTTGACTTGAGTGTGCTCCCATGAATCCTCTTGGAGCATTCTGCTTAGCTGCAGATCCTACCATCTGTCCTGAGAACTGCTGAGTGCCCCTCCCTCAGGCCTTGCTCACACAAGATTGCATTGATTTGTAACTTAAATTGACCTTCAAACTGGTTTTACATAAATATTTACAGCACAAAAGGCCCACCCATGGGTGTACTTTTATTTAAACCAGTACATGCTTCATGTAGACAAGCCCTCTGTGGGTGAGTTACAGTGACAGCTGCATTTCTGCAATTACTACCTGCCTACAGCTCCCTACCATCAAGGAAGAAAGACTGCTAAAGTGGCTAGGCCTTGTGCGCACCCCACTGCCATCTGAGGGGGGCCATGCTAGATAAAAATAATCTCCTCAAGGCTGTACTCTACATTGCAATTATGTAGCAGTTTGAAGGTCTTGGAGATTTTAGTACCTTTTTCTCTTCTGAAGTATTAGGAACCGTTAAGGTGTAGATTCCGCTTGTTGTAAGTCCTGATTTGAATGCTTCAGCACAGTCTTTGAAACTGATTTGTTCTTCTTTTGCCACAAAGCTGCTCTTGGCTACTAAACAAAGAGAGAGAGACTTAGAAAACATGACATGAGGTTAAATAGCTGAAAAATTACTAAGGAGGCCTTTAAAAAACAGTGTCCAGATTAAGGTTTCCTTGCAATAGAAACAACTAGACTGATGTAAAAGGCATAACATCTTTATATCAATAATTGTAGTGAGATAACAAGTTTTAGTTATTCAGTCCTGAAGAGAAAGTTCTTTTCATTCTCTTAGTGATGAAAAACTCTTGTGATGTATTTTTAGTATGTAAGAACATTATTCAGATACAAATTAACTGCTTGGTAGGTATTGTTTTCTTTTAATATATTTGTATACTTAAGGAAAACAATTTAATATAATTCTTCCTTCAGTTAAGCAGTTTGAATTTCCCATAGCCCTCACTGGACCTACATAAAATTAACATCCACAAAGATATCTATACTCCTGTATTTACATCCTTTTCGCATTATTCATGATGATAACATGGAGATGCCTTTTGTGATCTTTCAGCTAGATGTGTGTTTATCATTACTGTATTAACTTATTTCAGTTTAAGAATAAGGTAACGTTGGATGAGGTAGATATACCATAAAATATATTTTCTTTTGATTAAGTAGAATTCAAAGCATAATGCCCCTCAGTGAAGAGACTATGTTCTTTCTTCACAGGATTGGGCCTATCCATACTTCTCTCCATATTTGTGAAAAATCATCTACTCTAATGCAAGGGGGTATACCAGGGGCTATGCCTTACAATGGTTAGTGGTCTCGGCACTGAGCAAGAACATTTCATCTCTGTGTACAGAGCTGATGCTTACTGCAGTTGAGGGGGATTCTCAGTAAGGAATCCTTACTTTCTGGAATTCATTCATGTAAAGAATACTTCTAAATATAAGACTGGCTATCTTAAGGAATAATATAAAACTTGTCCTTTTTTGCTCAGAATTTTATTAACTTCAGGTTTAGAGTTTCCGGCACTTAGTCAGATGGCTGGTTATCTGTATGTGACCCTTTATAAGTAGGTTCAGTGTGGAGGTAGTAAAGTAAATGTTGGCTATTTTGATGCAGACAGAGAAATATAATCAAACATTACAGTGGTAGGTGCTCTAGAAACGTATGCATGTAATACTTGATCAACGTTATAGATCTTTTCACTTTGTTTATTAACAATGTACTTGTTTACATAGTTTGCTTCTAATATAAAAATAACACATTCAACGTTTTAATGACTTTTCCTACTAATTTTGTCTTTTTGGCAAACATTCATTATTTTTTCCATTCTTGATTTAATAGTGTGGTAGCCAACACTTTGACTTGTTTACTTATTTGTGCACTAACATAACAGATAACATCAGCAGGGAAGTGG